TTGTGGCATTCCACAAGGTGCAGTCGCCAACCCACCTGCCCCCCTTTGGCATGGACTGGCCATGCACCACCCAGTCATCCGCACAGCTCCTTCTGTGGTTTGTGGGCATCAGGTGCTCCGAATCCCACTGATTCAGAGCACCTGTCACTCACAAAAAGCCTCCATCTGGAGAAGGCCCCCAGCCATGCACCCAGAGGGAAAGGCAAAAGGCAGTCGGTGGCTCTGTCCAATTTGAAACAAGGCAGGGAGAAGGCGGCCTTCCTGCCTTCCTAGGCAAGCCCCATTCATGCAAACAACAGCTGTGATCACAGAAAAAATGTATTTCTTCCTGGACTAGATCACTTCCCACCCGAGTGATTGAATGCATGGAGAGGGGTCTCCATCATGTGAGCATGCATGCATGTATGTACGTACTGCAGATGGGATGATCTGTCCAGTTTGCATTTCCCCCTATCCATTTTTTGAAAAATGCATGTCAAGGGTGTCATTACAAAGGAGGGGCGCATTGCCTTTCAACTAAAAATTCTGCCCCCCAAAAGGAAATGTCCCTTCAGTCCCCAAATTTCTCGCATGCCAAGGAGTGAGACATTGAAAAACGTTCACACTTAGAACTCTTGTCTATTTGGTTTTACTCTGTACAGGGGGGATGGAAGGATATAAATTATGAATATGATATAACAGGACAGCCAGTGTGATGTAGTGGTTTGAGCATTCCTCTATGACTCTGGAGACCAGGGTTTGAATCCTGGCTCAGCCATGGCAACCCTCACACTCTCTCAGCCTCAGAAGATGGCAACAGCAAACCCCCTCTGAACAAATCTTGCCAAGAAAACCCTATGATAGGGTTGCCTTAGGGTTGCCATAATTCAGAAACTACTTGAAGGCACATAACAACAATGACATCATCATCATCATCATCATCATCATCATCACAATAACAACAACAACAATTGTGTTCACATTCTCTTGATCACTTTGCCTGCTCCCTCTCTTTGAATGCCGCCCTAAACTGTGTTTCTTAATCCTCAACTGAACTTTACACAGTACTGCAATGTTAGAAATTTGGGGACTGAAGGAAAATTTCATTTAATGGTAGAATTTTTATTTCAGAGCGGCAATGTTGTAATCCTATTCCCTGGTAGCTCTCACTTCTCAGAAAAAATGTTTGTTTGCTTCATTCATGATCTCTCGTGGAACCCCTAGCAACCTCTTGCAGAAGAACCCTGGTGTTCCAGGTTGAGAAACCCTGGATTATACCATGCTGGTTGTCATTGGCAAGATTTATTGAGAGTGGGTTGGCCGTGGCCTTCCTCTGAGGCTGAGACAGTGGGACTTGGCCAAAGTCACTCAGTGGATTTCCCTGCCTGAGCAAGGATTCGAACCCTGGTCTCCTAGAATCTTAGTCAAACACTCAGCCTACTACACCACCCTGTCTTTTGCACCTTTTGGTTGATCGAGCCAAGGGATCACAGCAAGATGGACTTTATTTTGTTTTAACATCGACTACCTTTGCAGTTTTCTACCACTTGGGATGGAGTTCATCTGCAACCTCCATGGCTTATACATTGAGCCAAAGGTGTGCGCCTTCACGCTTCCTTGCACCCCTTTTTGTTCCCGACCACGTAGTCTATGGAAGAGTTCTGGAGAACCTGAAATCCTGCACCATTGTGGAATTACAACGCCATTTGGAAATGGTGGCCTATGATCACGCCTCCCTTCCGGTTGACAGTTCCTCCTAAGAAAACGAGAACAGGAGGAAGCTTTTTGGAGAGAAAAAGAGAGAGGGAAGAGTTGTTGTTTTTTTAAATCCAGTTTTGAGACAGGGGGTAGAATAAGATGTTAGGCCAGTGTCGGTCTTTAAGTGACCGAGACCCAGCTGTGGAAAGAGACCAAGGTTTGGTACAATGTGTTTCGTCAAGAGACCTTCCACTCATCCGTGCAATCCACCCCCGCAAGCTTTGGAGAGGATGCAAGGCCTTGAACAATCCCAGCCTGCCTTTTCTGTACCATTGCATTGTCTGCCATCACAACCTCCCC